AAAAGAAGTGGAAGTGATAAAAACTACTGTTATATATATATATATTTTTTTTCGCATTGCAAACAACCACTTCCTCACTTCCCCTACTTTTTATTTAATACTGAATGATAATTCAGAATGGTAATAATCTAATTCTTTTTTAATGGACACGAACGACCCGTTTGCAGACACTTTTCAATCCCAATAATTACCTAGATTATCTAGAAACTGCCGAGAGCTTGTTTCAAGGTAAACGATGGGAGAAGAAACGTAAGAAAGGACTTGCAAGTAGCGAAAAAATAACACGCGAGAGTATTATGGTGGGTCACGATGCGTGAAACCGCGAAATGGATTGCTACCTTTCGGTCTGGTCATTAATCGGTTAAATACGTCGACCGTGAACGTTACTCTGAATTTATGGCATAACTGTCGGAAACACCGAGGCCGACACGCGCGTTCATCGCGTTGCTCGATTTCGATGAATTTCCAATTGCAACGCGAAGTTGGAATATTCATAGGGAAAATTAACGATTCCCACCGCGTTCGTTACGTTTTTAACATTTACTAATTGTACAATGTGCCTGATGAATAAGATGCAAATTATTAATAACGTACGATGCGCTAATTAACAACGCGATGCAAATTCTAACGGGGAATTTCTTCTCTTTCTTTTTTTGCCTCTTATGTTATTCTCATCCTTCCGTTTTGTTCGTAGTATTATTTAAACATCTTGCTCTTCAATTTTTCAAGTTGAAACGGAATAATAAAAAAGAGAGTGAAATTTCCGTAGTAAACTAAGCACGTGGCTATGCAGTAATATGGAAAAGAAATAACATGAAGAAAATGTGAATATGTACATGTACAATAAAATGTATGTAATGCGCGACGTAGAATTACGCTCGAAGGATTCAGCTCGAAGGATAACTGTATTAGTGTGAAATGTTCAGAGAGATGTTCACCAAAGCGAAATCTATTTAAGAAGTAGAGTGTGAAGGGAAAAAACAGCGAACGTTTTCAAGCGGGAATCTCTCAGGTATACGCCGGTAAGCAGCGAATCCGAGATGTGTGAAATTCCTTGTTATCGTAACAATTCTCTGAAATCATTAGGGAAATAGCGTAGTATTTTAAATCCGGCCGACTGCTTCCGTCAGAAATGAAAATTCGCACCGATAATGTAAAAATCAAGGGCAGACTTCCCCTCGTTGACAAAAATTCTCACTTTTCTACAACGTGGTGATCTTAATGGATTAAAATTCAATTTCATACGTAATCCTAAAATAATGGTAACAATTTACAGAAGTATATTACAAGTAGCAAATACAAAGTAAAACAAGTTACAAATTAAAGTGTCAAATATGTATTAGGTATTTCAATTGCAGACGAAAATTATGGTTCATATAGTTCGTATAGTTCGAAATTTACATCGGGTATTTTAATCGCAGGTTATATTATGATTAAATTAAAAACGAGAATTATAGTTCATTCACATCGCAGTTTAAAAGATCAATGCTCTTTTTTCCAAACAAGCTTGCAATCGACTGCCTTCTCGCTTTTTACATTTAACGTTCCACTGCCGTGCCAGTTGATACCTGATGCCTGAAGAAGCTTCCAAATAAATAACACCACGTCGCACCGGTCGGCGTTCAAACCAAACAGAAGCCCGGTACGAACATGTCGAACAATTACCAAGCGGAAGCTAAAGAAAAGTAAACACGTAACACAGCGATAAAAAGGAACACAGCAGTGGGTATAAATCGAGTCAACGAACACCTAACGAACAACATCAGGTGACTGAATATCCATGAATCAACGTTTATCGTAACACCATCTTCTGCTTCTATACCGCAAAAGAGAAATAAAGAAGACGAAAGGAGGAGGACGAAAAAAAAAGGGGGAGGGGAAGAAACGAGGTTTAGGTTAGGTTTAAAGTTAAGCGTATTGGAAAATGGTAATAAAGGTAAATGCATGATTTCCCTTGTAATGCTCGCCATTGCGCAGAAGATAACAGCGAAACAAATTGCCTCGGTGATCGTTTAATACTGTGGCCAACAGCCGGAAGGACGGTTCGTAAATTCACGAAGGAAGAAAGAAGCGAAAGAGGGGAGAAACGGTGGAAGAAAGAAGCGAGCGAGGTAGAGAAGAGCCGAGGAATCCGTAATCGCGGTGGAAGCGTGCAAACGCATGTAGTAATAATGTAATAATGTAACGTGTTCACAGCGTAATGCCAAGCCTCGAAAACAGGAAAAGGAAGACAAGAGTGATTCTGTTGCGTTTTGTACACACCGTGCGACAAGGGTTCTTGTGTATCTACGTAATCGTCTAGTGTGCTGGTTTGTCTGCCGTTTTCTTCATTTTTTTCCCTGAGACTAATTATTGTACTACTACTTCAGTAAAGAACGATGAAGCTTTGCTTCGTTTAAACATTTGAATACACGCGGACGATAAAAAGAATTTGTTAAGAATAGGTTGAATAATAGACTGAAGAAACTCGTTGGGAAACGGCGAATGAGATTAATAATAAATTCAAGAAAAAAAAAAAAACAAGAATATAAAAGAATGTAATTTATGCTAGGATAGAATTTTATTGCATTGAATTCCGATATTTGTAAATATCGCATATTCGAAGTATGGCATCGAATTTTAATATTTGTACGAATATTTTGAACTGATTTTAATATTGTTTGATGCGGTCACGACTTTTTACGTTAGTTGCGATTAATGTATAAAATAATAATTATCGACAGCCATTTCCTGCGCCAACTGTCGAACAAAATGATCCATTACAGTTAAACAAATTACATCTAGAAATTCACGTAAAGCACAAGCGATCGGTATTAAGAACCTATTAACGTTTCTCTGATTTACTCAATTTGTATCGGTTAACTTCAACAAGCACGAAAAGGTTTCTCGCTAGGTGGAGAAAAATCAAACGAAATAGCCAACAGGCGAACGATAACTCGCAATTATCGTTCGAGAAGAAAGTATCCTTCTTAAAAGGCTCGAGATTTCGAAGGCAACAAGCTGAGTCGAAGGCTAATCGAGCAGTTTCCACAAGGCTGAATTCTATATCATCGACAAGTTTGCGGAAGCAGCGGCTCAACGTTTCGCCGATCGAGGCTCGATCTGATCGAGTGAAACACGGCTGAGGCCGAACGTAAGAAGAAAACGAAGACGATCGAAGGGATAGAGGGCTAGAAAAACAGGCCGCTCTAATAATAACAAACTGTGAAATTGAACGGAGAAAAGTGTAAACGCGAAATTGACGTCTTCCGTTGGGGATTATTATTGCTGGCGTTGAAATAAAATTAAACTATCGATGAATGCGAGGTAGAAAAAAATGAAACGTTGGAATCTTTACTCGAACTTTCAACTATCTTCAGTTCATTTCATTAGGAATTAAATGGTCAAAAACTGTCACAAAAAGGAAAGTGTTGTTTATTATATTCGTTAAATCTTGCCGTTTAAAAATAATTTGCAGCTCATTTTATTTAAGCTTGCACCCTCGAAATTATAATAATCAGACATCTGTAAATTTCGAAAGTGGGATCGGAAAACAATTGGACCATCACTGCAAGCTGAATTAACCGAAGTGAAAGAAGTAAAAATTGAACTATTTTTTACAGAAATTTTTTTTCAGTCCTTTCCTTGTCATTTCTTATGAAATATCACATTTTAAGCGCGACTCGCCAAGGTCGCGGAAAGATTAGCTTACACCACTGTTCCTCAGACGTTCAATTATCTAATATCTTCCTTCGATCGTTTGTACCGACCGCTAAAACTACCCGGAAGTCATGGTGAAACAAGGTATTCGTTACTCGTGCCTAAAAAAATAAAAATTGAACTATTTTTTACAGAAATTTTTTTTCAGTCCTTCCCTTGTCATTTCTTATGAAATATCACATTTTAAGCGCGGCTCGCCAAGGTCGCGGAAAGATTAGCTTACACCACTGTTCCTCAGACGTTCAATTATCTAATATCTTCCTTCGATCGTTTGTACCGACCGCTAAAACTACCCGGAAGTCATGGTGAAACAAGGTATTCGTTACTCGCGCCTCTATCTGCAATTACACGTTCACCGTGTATCCTAGAATGACTTGCCGATATTGGAAATGATTATTCAACGAAAGGGAACGGGATGACTCTGCCCCGTGGTGAAGAAAATGAAAATCTCAAATGAAAGAGAAAAACCAATGATCAACGTACGTGACAGCTCTCTTCTAGTTGCTACTCTCGCGTTATAAACAAGGCTGTAACTTCATTGATTACGAATTCGAAACGAGTCGAGTTTGAAAAAAAGATTGCGTTTCACCTCCCGGATACGATGATAAATAGTTTCTTAGTATAAAAAATACAATTGTGATTTCTTCGTTTGTTCCGCTTCGACATAAAACAGATTACGATCGAAACATTAGAATTTGAATTAAGATATAAATTATAAAAATGTATTAAATATATCTATAATTTGTTAAAGTTTGAATCGTCGATGACTACTTCAAATATTACATCGAAACGAAAATTCATAATTTTCCTTCTCTTCTTTTAATTTCAACGATTTAAAGTTGCTTCAGTGTATGAAGTTCAAATTATTATGTGATCGTATTGCATATTTCGTTACATAAATTTTTGTTTCCTAATTTTAAATATATTGTATTGAAGCAAAAGTTCAGAATATTTGCGGAATTTGAGGACAATTGAAATTACTTGATTACGATCGAAATTACGGGAAGCGAGGAACTTGCAACTCGCGCTGTATAATTTGAAAATTAAAAGGAAGAACGATGGAATGGGGGAAAAAAATGTTAAGACGTTTCACCTGGTTTCAGTACAAAGAAACTGAAGTGTTGGACGTCGAGGCGCTTAACAACACGAGAAGAGCGGACCGAAGCGTCTTATTCTTCAATCGTGTACCAAAAGTGGGCTCTCAAACCTTCATGGAACTCTTGAGGAGGCTGTCCATGAGAAACGGCTTCTCATTCAACAGAGATCGCGTGCAGAGAGTCGAAACAATTCGTCTTGCGCCTATTGAACAGGTATTGAAATATTTTCGAATTTATTATTATTATCATTATCATTATCATTATTATCATCATTATCATTATCATTATCATTATCGTTATCGTTATCATTATCATTATCATTGTCATTATAATTGTCATTATAATTGTCATTGTCATTGTCATTGTCATTGTCATTGTCATTGTCATTGTCATTGTTATTGTTATTATTGTTTGCAATGAAAGAATGTAGAATAGAAATTGTATTCTCTTTGCTAATTAACAATTTGTTTCTAGCTTCAACTTGCCAGGATGGTCAGCAGCTATTCAGAACCATCTGTCTACATAAAACACGTGTGTTTCACGAATTTCACGGAGTAAGTACTTTAAAGTATACTGAAAATTTACAGTACTAAAAAGAATTTGAAAATCTGAAGATCTGGCGAATTTTGAAATCTTGGAAATTCGAAACGGAATGCTAATGAATACTCTGCCAATCAATGTTCTACTATCTTCAAATTACCAAAGAGACCGAAGAATTTGTTTATCTATTATCCTCCTAAAAAATCGAAGAAAAATATATTGCAATTATTAAAAATAATCAAATTCTACAATGAATTCTCTGTTTATTTTTCTAGAAAGAACAAGTTGAAATAATTAAAAAAAGAATGAACCAAAGTAATCAAATTCTGCAACAAAATTCTTTGTCCATCGTTCTCGTAAAAAATAAAAATAAAAAAATTGTAATAAAATAATCAAACTCTGCCCAAGAAAGAATAAACTAAAATAATCACGTTCCACAACAAATTCTTTATCTATCATCCTCCTGAAATATCGAAGAAGAAAAAGTTGCAATAAAATAATTAAAGTCTGCAATAAATCCTCTGTTCGCCTTTCCAGAAAAGTCAAGAAAGAATAAACTAAAATAAACAAATTCTTCGTCCATCGTCCTCGCAACGAGTAAAAAAACAATTGTAAGAAACCGATCAAAATTCTCTGCCTATTTATCCAGAAACTCAAGAAACAATGAACTAAAGTAATCAAATTCTTTGTCCATCGTCCTCCCAAGGAATCGAGCAAAAATAAAATTCTCTGGTCCATCTATTCAAAGGTTCGAGGAATAATAAACTGGAATAATAACATTCTTCAACACCCTCTTCAACTTCAAATTCGAAAGTAAAATAATGAAATTCTCCGTTTGCCCACCTTAGTCCTTCCCAAGCAAGAATCCACGATCAATTACAATACCTACATGAATCGAAACGAGCATGGAAACAGGAATTTCCTGGAAGAGCTAGGGAGCCAGATACCCGGAAGTAACGTCAGTTAAATTCCCACGGGATTGCCTGTAACGTAGAACGTTTTTCCGTTTAGATTCAACCTGCCGCAGCCAATTTACATCAACATAGTCCGGGATCCTGTTGAGAGAGTGATATCCTGGTACTATTACGTGCGAGCACCTTGGTATTACGTCGAGAGAAAGCAAATATTTCCAGACCTACCACTGCCGGATCCGAACTGGCTGAAGAAGGACTTCGAGTCCTGTGTACTTAAGGCGGACCGTGAATGTAGATACCTGGAGGGTGAAATTCACGAGGGGATCGGTGATCATCGCAGGCAGACGCTATTTTTTTGCGGTCACAGCGAGAAATGCACGTAGGTACCTTTGAATTGTACATTAGCATTAGCCTTTGTGTATTACGTGTATAACGACGGACCGGAGGGAAGGAATTACGTTTAAATGCTTTCGCTGATGGATTTTCTTCGGAAGTGAATAATCTCGCGTAAGGTGCGCGTTCGTTGATTGTTTGTCCCGGCCCGGGTAAATTGTGACCCGCCAGAAAGATTCAATTACTAAGTTTCGAATGAAAAATTTTTTTCAAATTGTTTCTACGAATGTTACAACAAATTTGCGAGTTTCTATAAATGTTACAAAATTCCACGTAAGCTAAATTTTCAACTTGACATTCTCTCTCGAGTTGGAGAAGATCTTCTGTCACTTAACTGTATGAATATTTGTAAGCTAATATATATTAACAAGTTGATTTCTAACTTGTGACCCTTCGAAAATTTATCGAGACGAAGTTGAGCTAATTTTTAACTTGTATTTCTTCAAGCGTGACATTTTTACGTAAATTCACATTTTTTTTTTTTTTTTTGCGTACAATTAAAGAAGCAGAACTTATCGTATCTATTTAATACTACAAATTATTTTATCTGATAAACATATAAAAATTAGCAGTCTACTTCTAATATTAACTTGTAATATTTACGATATTCTTTACATTCGTATTTCGACACCTCAATGATTAAAAGAAAGATTATAAATTACATTTTTAATTGAAAAATTATCGAAGAAAAAAAAATTTTTTTTAAATTCTCTCGATGAGTTGTCCTTTGTACCAGCAATTTTCGACATTTCAATGATTAAAAAAAAAAATTACAAATTATATACATACAATAATATGATGTACTGTATATAACAGATTATGTATTATCAGTTAAAAAATTATCAGGAGAAAAGGGGGATGATTTTAAAAATTCCTTCGACGACTTTGAAAGATTCTTTTGCACCGGTGATACATTTATTCACACTTTGTTCACGTCGCGTTCGTTCAGTTCCACGTGTTTATCTTTCGTCACGCCGCGCTTCAACCACCTGACATGCTTATCAATTAATTGTTGTCTGTTCGAAGTCCGTTCAACACGGTGGGCGCTCTGGAACGAGCGAAAATGGCAGTGGAGAAACACTATGCGGTCGTCGGCGTGCTCGAGGACGTGAACACCACTCTCACGGTATTGGAAAATTACATACCCCGATTTTTCCGTGGCGCCACCGACGTCTACTACGGTAATTCCTTTGTTCTCTTATTTGCATGTAACTGTAAACCCTCTCTGCCAATCAACAATTACCGTGAAAGAAAAAATACGTATGCCTCACGCATGAAATATTTTACACCTGTGCGAGGAACAACACGGTATCGAAAAGAATACCTTTTCATTAAAAGATATTCAGAACTCACCGGAAGGCGAATTGATCAATTTTTATTTTCTCGATTTTCGCACGATTAAACTCGCTCGTTTTTCAAGAATGAAATTACTTTCGCAAGTTTGTTCCTTGCTAGAGGGAAAACGTAAGTAGTGGGAAAATGCGAGATGAATTAAGAAATAGTAACTGCAAGCGCTTTTCAATTTATTTATGGGAGTTTGTGAACTGTGGATTTTTTTTTTCATTCAAACAAATTCATATTTTTTATGGGCACAATTATAAGTAGTGTAGTGTATCTTAATTTTGAGAATTTCATTTTGGAAATTTTCTGTGTCTCTTAATATTGTGAAATCATGCAAACTATGGAGAAATAGATATTATATAGTATAAATTTAATTAATAAAATTAATTGATCATTGTTAATAAATATTTATTTATTTATTTTTAATAAATATCAATTTAAATAGATCGTCATTTCAGTAGATGCAAATGTAAGTTCAAATTTCAAGAAGCATTACAAGAATATAAAATCAAAATAGAATACTTGATAGATAAAATAAATTTTTATTCAAGTTCCATTCCTTCAATTGGGTTCATAAAAATATAAATATGCATAAAAAATTCGCGGTATATTCGTAACTGTAGTGGCTAGCAACGAAACACGAACACTGATGAAAGTTTTCTGTTTCAGACGAGGTGAACGCGTTCACGAGGATCAATCGAAACTTCTTCAAGCCACCGGTCAGCGAGGAAGTGAAAGACATGGTGCGAGGCAACTTCACCAGGGAAATCGAATTCTATCAGTTCTGCAAGCAACGGCTCTATAAACAATTGAGAGCATTGAAGCTGACCAAAAATATGTACGAAAGCAATGGCTTGTAATTATTTACAACGTCTTTATTCGATCCATGAAAGTGTCGGATTCTCTTTTCCCGAAGACATCGATCAAGTATAAATGAAGTATCGAGAAGATCGATCTATTGATCTTTCTTGTGACAAGGACGAAGCTCGAGGATGTTAATTCTTAGAAAGAAAAAGATCGAAAGATCATTCAACATTGAAAATGATAATTAATTCGTCGAACGATTTGAATTCAATTTGATGAATTCTCTCTTTTGAAAAAAAACAGGAAAAATAAACAGAAGATATTAAGAAGATGCTAATTAATTCGTCGAGGAGAGAAGATCAAAGAACGTCGGAAATGACGAGTAGCTCATCGACGCAAGAGGAATCTCAAGGACGTTCGAAGTTGGCCTCGGAACATTGATGATGTTAGTGACGAAATTGCTTCGAAGAGTGAACAATAATGGTTAGAAAACTATTAACATTCGCTGTCGTCTAGACACTTGTCACAGAAGGGTGCACATGCACGCGATGAGAGATCGAACGAACGCGAGAAATTAATATTAATCATTGCCTTTAAGGGAGGATCCTAGTTGATCCTCCACCGCAACAACTTAGCAACAACCTTTAAACATTTATAAATCGATCAGTGTGATAGATGGTGAATCGAATGAATGTTTTCGAGCAAGCAATATCTCATGTGATCCGCACGAGAGCGAGTGCTTTCAATTTGAATGGGACGCTTCGAGATCGAGAGT